AGGCGGGAAGCAGGACTGGTTGGGGGGAGAGGGCTGGCCAGCAAAGATCAGGGGAATGGAGGACCAGCTGGGAGGGGATCAGGGGAAATGGGGGGAGAAAATCTGCCGGCAGGGAGTGGGACTGACCCGGGCGCAGGCAGATCCCAGGGTGCTGCCCATGCCATGCACGGTTCCGGTGAACCACGAGTGAGTCTGGCCCCAGGGATTCCCTCCCGCCCCAACCCCACCCTCCTTGCATAGTTGCATACTGCCTAGCTGGTAGACACACTCACATAGCGTGAGCATGTCTACCAGCCAGGAAGTTCATAACTACATACTCCTAATAATAATAAAACTTGCCTAATTAGAAAATACCAGACATTTTATATGTCCAGAATTTTCTCAATTTGTTTCCCGGACAGAACCGTCAAATACTGGACTGTCCAGTTCAAAACCGAACACTTGGCAACCCTACAAACAAGATGGAGTGATTTAAAATGTTTTTAAATCAGCAAGCATGAAACATTAATTTAAATAATTGTTTTAAGACTTGTTTTGTATTTGTACTTGTAGATGACCTATGCTCCACTCAAAGTAGAAGGGTTTAAGAAGATGATTATGGTGCAGATAGGCCCTAAGTAGGATTGTCAAGAGTATCAAAGCATTAGATGTTTATCTGATCTTTAGAAGAGCTACATAGCTTTGAATCTGGCAGCATGTCCTTCAGGATATTAGAATTAATATCATCCTCTTCCATCTGGTTTTAACTCATAGGTTAGAAGAGAAAAATTAACTTTCCAACATTTTCAACTCGCAGTTTCTCAACATTGACTGAACTGGTGAAGAAGAAATGAAAATACTCTCTCTGCCCCTGCTACCTAAGCTGACATCAAACGTAATTAAGGCAAAAGCTTTTCTGCACAACAGAAATTGAAAGCAGTCACATTTGAGAAAATGCAAATATAGTACCATAAATCATTCAATTGTAAAGGCTGAATATAACAAATTCGTAATGTGGTTAATGATATTGTGACATACTCATAAAGCCAGATTTGATCCAAAAAATTAAAGATGCTTCCTCTGATTCTGTAAAGTTAAAGATGTTCTCCTTGATTCTGTGCATTACTAAAAATGTAGCCCCTTTTAAAATCTTTAAAATTTTAGGATGCCTTATTGCAGCATTTTCTTTTTAATTTTAGTGAGCTTAATAGATGATAATATATTTAGGCCTTAACACAGGGGTGGGCAAATACTGACCCATGAGCCTGAATCCAGTCCGCGAGGCCCCCACAATTATATTCACCTGCATGGCTGCAGGTACCAGCAACTGCAGCTCCCATTGGCCATGGATAGCTGATACCTGTGGCCATGCAGGTAAATATAGTGATGGCGGCCCATCATGGGCTAACCCTGGCAAACCACCACCATGTTATTACCCACCCCTGCCTTAAAATTAAATTTGAAATTATGGCAGTTTAAAACAGCTTATACTTAAAAGAAAAATGTACTTAATTTAAATAAGAAAAATTGTTTAAATTAAAATATCCTTTCAAAAATTTATTTTTATCCAGAGTGTTGTTAAAACACTGCAGTGCAATTGCTCTCCATTCCCATAACAATCATCCCTCCCAAAGTCCCAAGCACTCCGTGCTTACTGGCTAAAACAGCAAAAATGGGGGGGGGGCTACCTCTTTATACTCTTTTCATTAATAGCCAAACTATCATTGACTTCCATTTATGATTGGGCCCACTGAATAATTTCTGGCATGAGTTCTATATTAAGAGAGATACTCTGTATCCCAAGTACAAATCACTGGGGAAACAGTATTAACAGATAGTTTCTAGTAACTTGGCATACATCGTAACACTCAGAGTTCCTAAAGCACCTAAAGTTCACAGACAGATATTTTTACTACAATTCTTTATTACTGGGTTTTGCGTATTGAATCTAAATTATTAAGGAACTAACATTCTGGAGCAAACACAAGAGGATGCTTCCAATCCACTTATTAATAAGAATAGTTGCCGTAAAGCAAGTGAACAAACTGCTGCATATAACAGTTTGTGTTTTTTTAAATGTATAAGAGTATATGAGCTTTTTTAAGTTGCAAATTACTCTAATTATAAATTATATACTCTAATTTACATTATTTGTAGGGCCTCTATTTTTCCAGATTTTTAATTTACCACTTTTGAGTTCTATGTAGATACTTAAAAATCATAGGATTTGGGGCTCTTTGAATATACTGTAACAAGTAATGTATGTACTGTAACATTATGTAATATATATACTCTTCGTAATGTTCTCTGGTGCACTTCAATATAGCATTTTTCCCACATACTTTAGGCATACCAGCAGTGTTTACATTAATCAATTAATATGCCATATTACTGCACTTTAGAAATCACACCTTAGCAGTTGGAATTACTATTTTGTGAAGACAAGCTCCTAGATATGAGTAACCATTTCTGGTATTGATTGAATAAATGCAAGTTTCTGTTTTTGAAAAATTTGGGACGTTTTATCACATAAAACTAAAAATCAGGAGTTCTGATTATTTATTTATCCAAAAGAGACTTTTTTATCTGGGTAGTTGAATCAACTGTGAGCATTAGGTTAGGCCTTGACATTTAGGTCAGGAATTTTTCCATTCTAATTTTTTCCGGCTCTTCCAGGTTGCAATCTACTCTATTTGTTGAGCCCTGCTCATTTTTCTTTGATTAGTGATCACGAGAAGTTATAGTTCAAGCCTTCACCTTTTTCTTCAGCCAGCAAGCCAGAGTGCATTTCATAATACATGATCATCCTGGCTTTCATTAAATGCAAGCAACATTTCATCTGTGCCTTACAGCCTACCTTACTTCCTGCAATACTATTCCATAGTAGGGGATATTTTTGTTCAAGGAAATAGGGACTAATGTTGTTGTTACCTGCACAGCATGTGCCATGTTTGTCATCCTCCTGGAAGATAGAAGGGATTTCATTTGCACTGAGTGAAAGCTGGTCGCCATTTTGGAAGAAAAAAATTAGAGGACCTGAGGCCCAAGAATCAACCCTACCTTCCATCAGAGATGATGAAGACTTCCTCAGTAGAAGGGAGCATTTGATACTGCAGCCACAGCAGGCTGAAGAGCCAGTGAGGGCAGTACAGGACAAGGAAGAAACTGGCAGAATGTAGCCTCCAGGAGAAGAGAGCCAACTCAGGTATCCCCAATTCCACAAGAGATAAGTAACAGCCTTCAGGCTCTCTGCACAGGCACTATGGTGGAGTATGCTTTGGCAGGGACCACTCAGGGAAGAAATGAGAAAAAGACTCCATCGACTGGAAGGCATGGGATGTGTAGGCCTAGGGATGGGGGTTCCATGACCACCACCACCCCCCAAAAGAAGAAGACTGGTAGTGGTGGTTAAGGACTCCCTTCTAAGAGGGACAGAGTAATCCATCTGCTGTCCAGACCTGGAATCTTGAGAAATGGGCTGCTTACAAGGAGCCAGAATTCAGGATGTGACCGAGAGCCTTCCAAAACTGATCAAACCTTTGGCTCGCTACCCCTTCCTGCTTCTCCATGTATGAACTAATGATACAGTCAAGAATGATCTTGAGCAGGTCACTGCAGATTATGTAGAGCTGGGAAAAAGGATCAAGGAATTTGAAGTACAAGTAGTGTTCTTGTCCATCCTTCCTGTTGAAGGAAAAGGTCTAGATAAGGAGATCTTTCGGAAAAGGCTTTATTTTCCACAAGATCAGCGTCTAGACTGGCGCTTTTTTCCAGCAAAGCTCCGTGCGGAAAAAAAGCGGCAGCCATTTTTATGCTAATGAAGCAGGGGAGATTTAAATCCCCACTTCATTAGCAATTGCGATACGTCTAATTTACATCCCTTTTCCGAAAAAGGGATGTAGTCTAGACGTAGCCTATGGGTTAAGTTTAGAGGCAGAAGCAACAGGGGTGATGTTGTGCTTGGTGTCTGCTATCGACCACCAGAGCAGGTGGATGAAGTAGACAAGGCTTTCTTCAGACAACTAAGGCTACATCTATATTGCGCATTCTTGCACAAGAAGATATGCAAATGAGGCACGGTGATGAAAATAAGTGACAGAACGGCTCTTGTGCAAGAGGGGTTTTTGCGCAAGAAAGAGCAATGTAGACAAGGCCAGCTCCCAGACTACTGGGCTAGGCAATGCAGTATGGGAAGGAGATGGGCAGCCCTTGGTGGAGAAAGAACAGGTTAAGAACTATTTAGAAAAGCTAGACATACACAAATCCATGGGTCTGGATTTAATGCATCCGAGGGTACTGAAGGAGTTGGCAAATGTCATTGCATAGTCTTTGGCCATTATCTTTGAAAACTCATGGAGACAGGAAGAGATCCCAGATGATTGGAAAAAGACAAAGGTAGTGTCCATCTTTAAAAAAGGGAATGACAATCCAGGGAACTACACACCAGTCAGCCTTACCTCAGTCCCCAGAAAAATCATGGAGGGGATCCTCAAGGAATCAATTTTGTAGCACTTGGAAGAGGGGAAAGTGATCAGGAATAGTCAACATGGATTCACCAAGGGCAAGTCACGCTTGACCAATCTGATTAGCTTCTATGATGAGGTAACTGGCTCTGTGGACATGGGGAAGTCAGTGGATGTGATATATCTTAACTTTAGCAAAGCTTTGGATACAGTCTCCCACAATATTCTTGCCAGCAAGTAAAGGAAGTATGGATTGGATAAACGGACAGTAAGGTGGACTGAAAGCTGGCTAGATTGTCAGGCCCAATGGGTAATAATCAACATCTCGATGTCAGCTAGGCGGTTGGTTTCAAGTGAAGTCCCGCAAGGATCAGTTCTAGGGCTGTTTTTATTAATGACCTGGATGAACATAAGAATGGCCGTACTGGGTCAGACCAAAGGTCCTTCTAGCCCAGTATCCTGTCTACCAACAGTGGCCAGCACCAGGTGCCCCAGAGAGGATGGACTGAAGACAATGATCAAGCGATTTGTCTCCTGCCATCCCTCTCCAGCCTCTGACAAACAGAGGCCAAGGACACCATTTTATCCCCTGGCTAACAGCCTTTTATGGACCGAACCTCCATGAAATTATCTAGCTTCTCTTTAAACTCTATTATAGTCCTAGCCTTCACAGCCTCCTCTGGCAAGGAGTTCCACAGGTTGATTACAC